TAAAAACATTGGGTATTTTTCTCTCTGTCTTTAGGCATTTAGACTTATTTGCATATCTTTCAACTGTATGTGTTGAAGGAAATGCATTATAAAACATTTTTTTTCTTGATATAGACACACATTAGGTTTTGTTATTTCTGTTTTAATTAATGTTCAGAATCCTCTGCACAGGATATCTTCAAAACATTTTTAGTTAACTGAACTGGCATAGTAGGCAGAAAATTAATGAGAAAAGCAGAAGAATAGAAGAACTGAATAAAAAAGAATAAACTGTATTTTCTTAAAAAAAAACTAGATATTCTGAGTATATGGTGGTTTTTAGAGGAAAACATCTAACAATTTTGGGAATTGAAAATATTTTGAGTTTTTTTTTTTACATGAATAGCAAAAATATATAGATGTTAGACCTCAAACATTTACGTGTATTAGTTATTAATTTGGTTGTGAGTTGTAAGAGTTTGGGGAACATAGGCATTGAAAGCAAAAGTCTTTGTTCTTATGGGCCTAAATGTTAAATGCTAGAGAAATGTCATAAAACTACTTACTTCATCAATTTAATAAAAATGTGAGCACCTGTACAACCTTATTTGGTTCACACTAAGGATATTTGCATTGTTTAGTATGTCAGGACATAATATTTATTTAGAGTAAGCATTTGTTAATAAATATTTGCCAGTTGTCTCAACATTTTCAAACTATTGGCTGATTACATTGTAGATTTGAGCAGACTGCTTAGTTTTCATTTAAAAAAATGTATTTTAAACCCACAATCCCTTGATGAAGAATTTCATCTTAACTAAATGACATTTGACATTGCTAATTTTATGTTTGTATTTTCAATCCACACTGTATCCATGATTTTTTTTTCTCCTAAGTTATCCTAATGTTATTTCTAATGCATGCTATAATATATAAATCTGCCACACTGGGAGCACATACCTTTCAAGGCATGGTGAAGTGTTCATTGGAAATAACCAGTTGAGAATCACTGTCTCCAGGATAGCCCTTCAGAATCACAAGATGTGTCTGCCCAACTGCTTTAGGCTCCTGAAGACCCGATGTAACATGTAGCTGCCTGGAATTATCAATAGGAATCTATATATTAAATTATTAACAAGTATTAATTTACCTTTCATTTTCAGAAATAATAAAAAATTCAAAGAGCTTGCTATTGTGCCTTTGTACACTCTTAGGCAACCTTCTTTACATGCCCTTCATAGAGGTATACTTTTGTTATGGCTACCTGATGGGTCCTGTCCCCACTGGAAACTGTATAAGGCTTTCTTGATTTAGCTTAGATAATTGTTCCTCTTGTTCTGACATGAAGCATCATGTAGGTGAGTGGTCCAGCAGATGCTAGACCAAGATTTGTTGCAGCTATAGTGAAGGTCCTTATTTTCATTCTCCTAGTCAGTCTAGGAACTCAGGCTCTCTTTGCTTCACAGGGTGTTACTGACAGGGCTATTTTCTTCATCGTTCCTTGTCTTGCTATGATCATCAATTTTGGCTTTAGAGAGAAAGTTGTGCTTTGTTTTGAATTGTGATTGTCTGAAAGATGGACATTACATTATACTTTAAATGACCATGTCAGCTATGGATAATTTTATAAGTAATGAAAGGGAAAAAGGGTCATAAGGAACATTCTGTGCATCTGTAACTGTGAAAAATCAACTAACAAATGCTAACTTTAAGTATTTGTACCATTTGCCACACAGCAGGATATTTATATTTTGGGGTATATATGATTGCAATTTTAATTGCAAATGTGTATGAAATATTATTCTTACTTGTTGTTCATTAGCCATTAATAAATGTTACTGCAATCTCTACATTTCATTATAAAACTGACAAGCCTTTATTGTATAAAATTTATCAAAGAGTAAAAATGTTGACAAATACTTTCAAAATTCAGTATATTTAATATTATTTAATATTTTGGTATACTTTCTTTCCTATATTTTTTCCTATGATCTTTTAAGTTTTATTTTGACATATTCCCTTTTAATCATTTATGTTAGAGTATATCTTGAATTTAGAGATGTGGAAAGCATAACTACATGAGCGATGGTTTGGGACCCATCTAAAAATTTGCTAGCCATTGTCTTTTTTGGTTTTCATACTGTTCAAATTTTGACTCCTATTTGAAATCTATGGAATTACTGGATGTTTTGCTAGCCTCTTGTCAGTATTTAATCAACAAACACTCACTTTAGATCTTATTAATAATGACACACACTTTAACTTTATGTCACATACAGTTACCTTTGTGAGGTAGATACTATCATACAATTTTATCAGTAAGTATGGTATTATGATCTCAAATTACAAAAGAGAAAATGAGCATGTTTTAAGTAATATTTGAGACATAGATGTGGCTTGAAGTGTTTCTGTACATTTTATTGTATTTTAAATGCTCAAAATGAGTAATTTCTATTTCAAAAATATTTCCATTTAAAATTTAATTAAAGAGTCTTAAAAATTTCTATTAACCAATGTTTAAAAATAATGATAAATAACTCAAGAGATATGTTTGTTGGCATAGGGCTTGCTGAGAAATCCCAGGATGGTGAGGTATAAGGAGAGGAGAGGGTCAGCAGTGAAGAAGTACACTTAAGAGGCAGCCAGCTCAAGGGTGGATTATGAAAACGAGCCTCGGGGGTGTGGGGCTGATGGCATTCACATTGTAGTTAAGTCATGAGTAGAACCGCCTTTTGGCTGGAGTTGAAAATGGTCAAATTACAGCATAAATGGTACAGAAGGAGCCTCAAATGTGTGGTGCTGAATTTACAAACCTGGTGGGGATTCATGAGGATGGAGCAATAATTGGGAACTTGGGAACTTGTCCAGCTACGGAGTGGGATGGGTACAAACTTTCAAGGACTTTGATCTCTCACAACTACATTCTAGCTTTGTCCTTCATGTTCACCTGTGGATATGCAGGACAGAGGCGCAGCAATTGTGATGACAGAAATGGCACCACTTTTGTTTACTTACTTGATTTTTTTATTAAGCACTCTGACTTAAAGGAATTTAGTCTAATTGTTTCATTTGTAGAGGGCACATAGCCTTTACAGGGCAGACTGAGTGTTCATTCTCCACCTCCAGCATTGTAAATTCTGTGCCGTTTGTAAGATTTCTTAATTGCTCTATTTCTCAACTTCCTCATCTTTGAATTCACATCTGCAGTGGAGAAAGGGTGTGTTGAAAAATGAATGTGTGGTTGTATTTGCTTTAACTAATACATATTTAGAATTGTGGGATATGGAAAGGAGTTGGTAAAGGTAAAAATCATGATTTAGAATACATTGCATGAAAAAATCTATTAAAATGATTACTAATACTCAAGAAATGATTTATCTTAATTTTCAACCTTACTGGATTTCCTTATCTAAGAACTTGGTATGGAGGGCATGTTTCTGGTCCTATCTGCGAGGGAATTTCTGGAAAGGATTAACTGCAATGGAAGATATATTTTGAGTGTAGGCAATCCTATGGACTGGAGCCTTGATAGAATAAAATGATGAAAAAAAGATGAGAGAGTTATGAAATTTAGAAATTATTTGGTATGGAAGAGAGTATATATATAATACTACCTTAATAATCATTTAGATAGCTTTTTATGACCCTAGCCTTTTAAACACCTGTCTCCTGACTTGCTTGACACACTGATGTAATGATACCTCAATATTGTCTCATTTCCCAGAATGTTATTTGCGTCCAATTTATTCTCCTAGCTATGAAGCCAAAGTCCTCATTGCAGCTGTTTTCATAGAAACCGTCATTGGATTTTTTCCCCCAATTTTCAAAAGCTAATCAAAAATAAATAATAAACCCCAAATCAAAAGCCCAGAGTTTTTGTTTGGGGACAAATCTGCCTGTTTGGCCTGTATGCTGTTCTATTTGTCTGTTGGCTATTCTGTAGTTATTAAAGACTATGTGTTGAATTGTTCAGTAGCATCCTGTAATTTGGACAGCACAATCAAATTTGCATATCCCATTCAGCTGTCGTGGAGAGAAGCCTGTTGCCATGGTGAGATTTATGATGTCCATATCAGATAAATTCCCAAAATGAGGATGACCTTTGCAAAGCCACACGCAAATATCTATTGTCTTAGAGACAGCTAGCTTCTGTGAAACACTGAATTACCTTTTCTCATGCATTAAATGAGAAACCCACAGCACATGCTTTCCCCTTGTTACTGTAAACTTCCACCTCTCTCCGTGCCTGAAGTGCTTCAAGAATCAGATGCTATTGGTGGTCCTTCTCAGTTGTGTAGATGAAAAGCTTGTTTGTTTCATTTACAACTTAACCAGGACATTATCCTAGAGCTGACCCCTATGGAAATTAGTATATCATTTTGTTTTATTATTTTGTTTTGGTGCTGAGTGCGGCACAAGCAAACCACACATCGCAGCTCTGAGTCCAGTCTATTCCTCCCATGTTTTCTCATCCTTTTTCACTCTGAGTGCAGAAGTGGAATGTAGGACTCTTGTTTGCATCACATTTAAACAACACAAATCCTTCCATGCAAATTGGGGGTGGGGGGTCCAAACTAGGTATTTTACTAAAGATGTGCATCACACTTTAACATTTTTAAAATATAGTTTTCTCACATTAAAGGTCTGTCAATTTAAGAAAATAAAAAATTCTATTTAAAACCTTTAACAGTTTCTGAGTCAAAACTCTTGAACTTCCACCTTGAATGACCAAATTAGTTTATAACAATTACAGAGTAAAGTCATAATTAACTTAGCTTGACAGTCTAATGAACAATGTAAACATACACATTAATTTCATTAAACGGCCTATTTTCTGAAGTTTATTATGATACTTCCTATAATTTTAGTGGTTCATGACACAGATAAGTCTGAGAGATACAGATATACAACCTTTACAAAAGGTCTTCTGAAAAAGAAAGATATTTAAAAAAAAAAAAGAGGGGAAAACAATTCTCTCTTACAGCATTGTGAAGTTGATGTCCCCTGTGTTTGCCTTTCAGATCCCCAGCTCAAGGGCATAGTGACCAGGTTATATTGCAGGCAAGGGTACTACTTGCAGATGCACCCCGATGGAGCTCTCGACGGAACCAAGGATGACAGCACCAATTCCAGTAAGTGACCGACTGAGTCTGCTACTCAAATGGCTTTGTGAGATGCATTTGTAAGTGCTTGGTTCTGTTGGTTTTTTCTAGTTGCCTGCTACAATGCATGTATCATTTCACTGAGACCTGTATTACAAAAAATAAAAGATCCAGAGAGTGATATTGTGGTTCAAACTTCAAGCTGAATATCAGAGAAGTCAGTAGATCTTACCTCTTCTACCAAGCTGAAATGGCAATCCTGTCTCCATGACTACTCTGAGGCAAAAGCTCTGAGTTCCTGGCTCCTGCCATATCTCCATCCAGCCATATCTCTCTGTTTACACCTCCCTAGTGCTGGGATTAAAAGGCGTGTGATCCCACGTGCTGAGATCTCCTTTGTGTGAGCTGTTTCTTTTTAGAACTGGATCAATTTCATTTATCTAAGTGTGACTTTGAACTAACAGAGATCCATCTACATCTGCCTCCCAAGTGGTGGGATTAAAGGTGTGTACCACCACGCCACTGCTTTGCTTCTATAGCTAACTAGTGTGGCTGCTTTACTATTTTGATCTCCAGTGGCTTTAATAAATCATAAACAATATATCACCACAGAGACCACATGTGCGAAGGTATTAATGCAGACAAGTCACCTGTGGTGTTAAACTGAGTATATTTTCTTTTGCTTATATAGCATATAGTGATTTTGTCAAGAACATTACTTTCTGTCTCCTCATCATAACAGTTAGGCATACTAATGCATCGATGTAGAAGTTAATGTACTTCTAATGGAGAGGATATTAAGGCTATGTGCATGTAAATACATTGCACAAAACATTTAATTACCTTATTCAATAGCATCTGCTCATTAATTTAAAATCTATGTATCTTACATTTATATTCCAGCTTTTGATTTCCTCTAATTTCACAAGAGTTCTAACACACACACACACACACACACACACACACACACACACACACACACCTTTTAGTCTTTTACTACTGGGCTAGGTAAATGAAAAAACTGATACAAGATATAAAACTCTGAGGTCATGAGCAAAGATGGCTGCCTATCCACTTACCTTTACTATTTATAATAAATTATAATCCATTAAAAGAAAAGAAGACCTGATACATGTAATGGAATCATTAGCCCTTCTTTTTAAGTCTGACTCATCAAGTTCTCAGGCACAAATTTTGAGGACAATTGATGATATGGAATAAGTTGTTTTACACATGATGCCTCTATGTGAAATAATATTAGTAATTTTCTGTTTCCTTTTGTCTTAAGTGAGCTGAGGTTTATGACTAATGCATTTACTAGTTTGGGGAGTGTTGCTTCATTTCCTTCATGATATATATATATATATATATATATATATATATGTATGTATGTATGTATGTATGTATATATGTGTGTGTATTTGTGTGTGTGCATATATATGTATGTGTTTTGAAATATTAATCTTTCTTGCCATTTTGTTTTCCATTTTTAACCTTGAAAATGTCCCCTAGATTATTGCTCCTTGATTTATTTGTATCTTTTTTATTATTTGGGAAAAGAAGGAAAAAATAATTCAGGTACTTGGGGGAAAGAAAACAAAGATTAGCAGAGATCATATAAATACAATGCTTCTTATATAAGATTAGAGATTGAGTGGTATTATCTGCACAAATCATGATAAAAGTTTTAAAGGAAGAAATATAAAAGCTGCAACTAAAGGAAAGTTGCCTCTCTGGACTTCATTCTCCTTTCTTTGGCAAGGTGTAGGGGTGTGAGGTATAAAGTGTGTACATATATAGTTAGATTGGTTGTCTGAAATTTGTGAAAGTTGTCACACCACCCCAGAGGTCTTAGGATGGCAGTTTTCCCATGACCTGCAGTCTAGGCTCATTTGAAGAGCTCCTTAGAAAATTTCCTTATGTTTTTAACCCAGCACTAGTGATTCTGACTTGGTTGGCCCCGGGGCTGGGCATGGTCATCTTATTTCATAAATACATTCATTTTTGTGTACAACCATGGTTGGAATCCCCTGCTACCTCTAGGATAGAGTATTCCACAACAGGAACACAACCACAGGGACATCTTTATTTTTATTCCCCTAGGCTTTGCCTTATTGCTTTGTAATTACATGACATTTTTAAAAAGTGGAAAATAACATATTTATGTTTTTAACTAGCACCACACACCCTCCATTGTCAGCTCCATATTGTTAATTTGTAAATGACAATTGTTTGAATTTTCCTTGCAAAAATCCAGAGGAAAGAAGGACAGTGTAATTTTTGTTATTTAGAGTACATTTTAGAATTTTCTATTTCCCACAGTATATCATTTTAGTGTATTCATACTATTCTTGCCTTTAGGAATTATACCATCTAGTTGACATGATATAATCAGAAGCCACAATACTTTTAAAAAATCAGGTTACAGATATTAAAATAAATAAGTTTGAAATTATCAGGTTGTGTAGTTACATTATATTTTACATTAAAATTATATACAGAAGTTAGGGCTTATCCTACAGTGTCCATCCTTTCAAATTTCAGGGAGTTAACACAAATATGAATGAACATAACTTTCACACACAAAGAAGACACACAGAGAATTGCCATGACAAACCCTAGTACCCAATACACCTATCATATTCAATGTTAAATAACAGAATTAAAAAGGAGTAAAACATTTTATTTTATTTGTATCTCATAACCCTCCAGAATCCTTTAAGGAGAGTTCAATGTTACTTTGCATAGTGACAGTAATACTCATCTATTCACAAATTAGCCCCCAAATTAATCCCTGTGTTATTATCAAGACCATGGGATACTGTTTTCCTCCATTATTATGGGGTGTAGATATGTTATGGTCTGGGGAACAGGAATTTTTAATTATTGCAAAAGAGGACTTACCTTTCACCATTCTGCATAGCATATTCCTGAGAAGAAAAACAGAACAATGGTTATTGCTGTGTTAGTTTGTAATCATCAAATTATTCACCAATTTCAACTCAAATGTGTTCTGTATAAGAGTTGAAGGCCTAAAATTAACACATTTTAGTTACATATTTATGTCAAGAGCTGAGTGCTTCCCAAACCAATTCCCACTGCTCAGAAGTAAATACAAGTTAACGGCTTGAATAAGAGTAGATAATTAATAATATTCTTGTTAATGCCACTTGTAATAAAAATATTTCTGGAATACCCACTAAATAGTCTATGTGTAACAGAGATATTATGGTTGATAATATCCTAGATGATGTGAGTACACTTTGTGAAAATATAGTGTATTAGAAGGAAAGAAAAATAGAAACATAAATGGTGTTTAATTTACTAGATATGTAAAACTGAACATGGTCATTTATTATTTACAATAAGTAGTTTTATTTATAAATTTATAAAACAACAATAAATACAATTCTTTCTTGAAAATTTGCAAGCCATTTTTAATTTTATTAGTACCTTCTCAGTTTATCTCATGGAAAGCTGCACATCTTTTTTTTTTTTTTTTTTTTTTTTTTTTTAATGTCATTTCATGTTGCTTCTGCCAAAGTAATTTAGTTTGGGAATTACTTCTGAACTGCTGGCCTACACTGCACTGCAATGCCCAATCCTACAGTACAGAAAATTACAGTCAACTTCCAAGCTGCACTTTTTAAATTCTGCTTCTTGAGAATACTCATAGATGATTTTTTTTTCTTCCTGGAACCTAGCAAGGTCAGAGACTTTAATAGTAAAAGCATCATTATAGTCTTGACTCTCTTCTGTCTCCCAACCCCTTCAGAATGGTATGGGCAAACCTGCTAAGGAAAAGCTGAAGCTGAGATGCTCATTTTTCTATATGAGAGTAGCTTCTAGGTTATAAAGAGAAACAACATTTCTTCAGTTGAAACTTTGAAAATAGAAATACATGTGATGCTTCTTAAATATCCAAAGGAGAAAGGGGAATTGTTATGGAAATGATTTGCTTCTACTGCTTGGTGACAGATCAATCACCTTTGTCTTCTACAGCATTGTTCAACCTCATCCCAGTGGGACTGCGTGTCGTTGCCATCCAGGGAGTGAAGACAGGGTTGTACATAGCCATGAATGGAGAAGGTTACCTCTACCCATCAGTAAGTTGCATGCCAATGACATTGGCCTCCAGTATGTTGTTAGTGAAATGGCAAAAGCAGCAATAGAAGTCAAAGATAGACGTGGACTCTGTCACTTTGGCTTTGGGATTTGGTCCTTATAGGGCTGTTGCAGAAACTGCTTATTAATTATTTATCAGTGTTTGGTGACAAGGGCACATCTGAGGGAATAGTAATTTTAGATCCTGAAATATGTTTGCCATTTTTTAAAAAGATGACCAAGGTCATACGAAGAATCAAAGAGTTGCCGTTAGTATGATCATTTTATTTCTGTTTATCAATGTTCTTGTTTTGAAGACTTTCAAAAGAAGTGCCATTGATATATGTTTTCTCTCACTAATTTATTTTTACTCAGTTTAATAGTTATATGTTTATCTGGGACAATATGCTGTATCAATCTTTTTCTACCAGTAGATTCAGTCAAGGTAATTAATATACCTGTCAGCTAAGTAGCATAATATTTTTTTATTAAAAAGATATTCAAATGTGTTTTTAATTTTGAAATATGTAAACTATTTACTGTACTCAACATACATGAAGTGAATACTAGGACTTATTCCTACTTGATAAGTGCCTCCTCTTTCTCCATCACTCTTCTGGAAAACAGTGGTATGATCTCTGTTTCAATGTTTTGTTTTGTTTTGCTTTTTCATTTCCAAATGTAGTATATAGTCTCATTTGTACTTGGAATCCAAAAGCTTGTATTTCTAAAAAGGAGACAATATGAGTTTTGAAAGAGAAAGAAGCATTGAGTCTCTGTGGACAGGGCTTCCAAGATTCTCTGTGTATACCATGCTCTGGGTACTCAAAGGTATCTTGTTGACTAAATTTCCTTGTGTATACCATACCTACAGTTTTGATAATACTTATATGATGTGAATATTAAGGAAATTGTTGTTTTATGTATTGCTTAGGGGAAAATAACATGAAATAAGCATATATATGTTCAGTCCAGACATGAGTTTTTATAATGCTATGATTGTCTACTTTGAAGGTATATATACTACACCAGTGGATATGAAAGGACACATATATTTGTTTTAATTAGAATTTCAAAACTGGAAATATTTTAGTAGAAAAACATTCTAATAATGCAGTACACATCTCACACAAATCTAAGCATGGATTTCTGTTTTTTTTTAATTGATATTTATTAGAAACAGAAGATTTTCTTCCACATAGCCTACACTGAATTTTTTTCATTAACTTATTTTCGACCAGATATGCTGTGCTCATACACTATAATACAGTTAGAATCTCCTTCCATTGCTAGTCAAAGAAATACATACTTGCTCATAAGTGTTCCTTTCCATTGCTCTTTTTAGCAAAAGTCAATAGACTAAAATGTAATTGTCTTAAAATACGTTCTCCTTTGAGTATGCTTTCCATTTTCTTGTAGATTCTTAGAATGCTAGTTGTTATACAATATTACTAGCAAAAACTGAAATATTCAATTATAATATTGTCATATATTTATGTATAAATAATATATGACTTTATATGCAATAAACATTTTCTTAAGCCTTTCACAACAGGTAATCTATTTTTTCTGGCAAATCTGGAAACTCTGTCAAAGGAAATGGCTATGTAGCATCAGAGTCCCTCCAACTAATCTCACCCAAGGGTATTCCAAAGCACAGAACTGGGTATTACGTTATGCAAATTGTGTACTGCTGCAGGGGATGAATATGCAACATGCTGTGAGAAAGATCAAGATAGAATTTCTTACAACTTGTCTAGGAAAACAAATACAAAAAGAGATCATTTATAGAGATGACTCATTTCAGCTACAACTCAATGTTACTGATTTGACATTTATACTGTTATTTTTGTTTACTTACCCCTGAAGTAATGTCTGAATAATCTAAATATCATTAGATGTACTGCCAAACACAGCATCTAACTCTTCCTTTCTGTTTCAAATTTTATCACATGATTGTTCTCTCATGCATATACTATTATCAGAGCATTTTTGTTTAACTTTTTGCTAATATAGGTGATGCTTTTAATTATTGCTTATTTTGAATCAGACTATAATTGTAAGGTATTCTTCTCTAAAGAAAGACTATGTCCTCTTAGAGATGAACTTTGGCCTAGAACAAATACTAGCACATTTAGAGCAATCTATCACTATAGTAACAATGAAAACAAGGCAGCTATCCCAAGTCCAACAACAAGCATTTTAAACATGGATCCTTTGGTCGGGACTCATAATTTATGAAGTTGCTGTGGGAAAGAGTATTTGTACCAATAAGTACTAAATATCTTGCTGAAGTTTCTTATTCTGGTTTTGTAGATGGTTGGCTCCTGGACATCCCCTGTGGTGGCTTAAAGTCTCTGACTTACAAATTGTGGTTTTGCTACGTCCTATCTTTTTGTACCATGAATCTAGGCTATGTCCTAGCTGAAGCTATTTCCATAGCCCAGGTTGGTGGGCAAGGGACCTGTCATCATTCCCATCTTTTGGGAGAGAGACTTTGATAAAAAATAAAAACAAACAGTACAATTTCAAGTCTTTTCTCATACACCACAATTAAAATACTCCATTGATTTAAACTAAATAAAATTTGAACTTTAAATATTTTGTTGGAGATAAGTATTTTCTATATTTACTAATTTTATAAGTAGCCAACCACTAAGACAATAACATAAAATATGATATATAAATTATTTTACTTTATAATAAAAGTTAAATTATAATAATCATAGTAGTATTTGTTTACTGTGCAGTATTCCAGTCATGAATTAATTTACCTGATCCTCTTAGCAAACTTTAATATATAAGTATAATTAATACATTATGATAAAATAAAGACACTGATATTCAGACTGCATAAAAGTTTGCTGTAAATCCCTATAATAGGCAGAAGCAGCAGAATCTGCTATTCAGTCTGATTCACTACTTTGCACTTTTAGATAGTTTACTATCCTTTCTCCATTTGAGATACGTTTCATTATATGACATGGCATCTGTTATAACAAGAAACTAAAACTGTATAATGATGTTATTAAAACCTTTGGAAGAATAAACACACAAATAAATCTTTTTAAAAAGAAAATTTAACTTAGAACATTTTCAGTATTATATGAGACCTATTTTTATCAAAGATCAGTTTTGTTTTTGTTTTTGTTTTTTGTTTTTGTGGGGGGTAAGTAATAAAATAGGCCATTCCAACTGAAGTACGTTGCTTGACCTTATACCAGTAATGCCGTGTATTTCTCTTTTTCAAGAAAACTTGCAATCCATTGTTATTTAAATAAATATCTTCAATGTGTTCAATAATGATAGTTCTTAAATGTTGTCTTGACTAAGATATGAATAATTCTATTCCCAGTATTGGAGGGAGTTGTTGCCTGTGAAAACTATTTTCCCATATGACAAGAGCTATTTTTGTGATCATAAAGATTACAATATACACTTGATATGGGGCTCAAGAGATTTAATGTCGTATGAATGATTTGCTGGGAAGTGTAATACAAGTTCTCAGGTCAGAGAACAAAAACAACCAAATACTTGGTACAAAAAATAAACAGGTGAAAATACTGCTTTAAAAATAAATCTGTTTAAGTTAGCTAGAAAACTACCTATTGTGATAAGAGGAACAGTCAGATGTTTTGTTTTACCAAATAACTTACTTTTGGAAGACTAAGCAATCCCCTGTGGGGGCTGAGAGATGGCTCATCAGTTAAAAGCTTTTGAAGAAGACCTGGGTTTTATCCCAAGGATCCACATGGATCTCACAGTTCCAGAATTTCTGATGCCCTTTTCCAGCTCTGTGAGCACTGTATATGTGTCCTTACATGGTACATGTGCATCATCCTTTCTCTATCCAAGGCCCAGGGAACGTCATGGAAGAAGGAGTATCAATAATGTCAGAGTGGGAGGATGAGGAGAAGTGAGATTTACAGTCATCAACATTTGGATAGTGCAGGTGCCCATGGGACCCCATCCTTAACTGGGAATTTTGATGGTTAGTGGCTGCTGGAAGAGAGAATCACTTTATTCAGCAGTGTATACGTGGGAATATACAGGCTCACACAAGCAACCCTAATGAAATTCATTGGGTTTTACACACACACACACACACACACACACACACACACACACACACAGTAGGGGAAGACCACATGGGAAAGAGAAGTGGGTCATCCAGAGTTTGGGCTATGCAAAACATGACAATATGTTTGAATATAATCATAATACATTATCTACATTTATGAAATTGTCAAATAATAAATTTTATAATAGAAACATGTGAAGATAGAACTTTTCTGTGATAGGTAATGTTTCTTTTCCTTTTATTTATACTCAGTGACAAAGATTTAGATATGAAATCAATAGCCTTATAATGGTGAAGGGAGAAAGAAAATAAAACCTTAGTAAACTATCTTATTAAGAATTTTCTACATATTTTACTTAATTCAAATAATCCATTTTAAATAAGAAAGTATACAGTCTGCTGATTTAAATTCATAACTTGAGCTTTCATAGAAATAATTCTGTTGTGTAAGAAGGAAATATTTAGTATTCACGCTATGTTTCACAGATTTCAACCTGCATAAGAATTATGTAGAATGTCTTGTACATATCTAGGCCTCAAAATATTGACCCAGCAGATTCTGATACTCCAGTTAAGTAAGTTCACAAGCCTTGAGAATCACAAGTCTGAATGTGTTGTGAACCATTCTAGAATTACTGCCTGAAAAACATATTGGAAAAAAACAAAACAAAACACAAAAACAAAAACAAAAAAACAAAATTCAGTTCCCCATCACATCTAACCTACCATGACTTTAATAGTTCATTCTTTGTTATTTTCCATTGATGATGACGAAAATGGACAAATGACTAAGGACTATAGCTTTATGCCTTGGTCTAGGTCCGGTGAAATGAAGAACAAAGAGTATCTATACGTAGTGTTCATTTTCTCATTAACCTTTAAGGAAGGCCACAGAAACAGTTGTGATCATTACACTCAATC